GTATTAGCAGTAGTGAGGCCAGAGTGCTCCTTAAAGGCAAGGATGGTCAGACTTCATCTTACATACGTTGGACATATTGTCAGGAGAGACCAGTCCCCGGAGAAGGACATCGTGCTTGCTAAAGCAGAGGGGCAGCGACAACGAGGGAGGCCCTCCACAAGATGGACGGACACAGTGGCTTCGCAATGGGCTCAAACTAAGAACTAGGGTGAGGATGGCGCAGGACTGGGCAGCCTTTTGTTCTGTTGTCCATCGGGCCGCTATGAGTTGGAACCAAGTTGACAGCACCTTACAACAACAATAACAAGTTTCCGAATCCATTGAGCTGGAGCGGAGTGCCTTTGGGCTCAGGCTTATAGCAGTGTGTCGTACCCTTTGGGCATTGATCACCAACACTAAAAGATGTTTGTATCCTGCCCAAGCAGGGCAGAGGTCAGGGGCCTTGTCACTGAGAAGAAGAGGACCACAGAGAGGTATGCTTGTGGGCCTGACCAAAAAGAGGCTTAACCGACTGAAGAACTGTATCCTGAGAGTTTATGATCCATATATGTAATCTGTTAGCTTCCCTAGTAAAGCCCGTAATCATTGCATGTTGTCTGAGCTCCGGGCAGTCCCTGAAATGGATAATAGAAGCCAGCTGCTAAGGACAGTGCCGCGAGAGGGATAGCTGGTGTCAGAATTGGCAAAGAAGGTTACAGGGTGGAGGCATGTCTGACCACTGTCTCTTAGGAATTGGCCTTGAGCGGATGAGTTTGATTCTCCTTCCCTTTTGTGAAGTCAGAGGTGGTCGGATGCCCCCATCCCAGCTGCCACTTCATTGTGACTTTGCAAGGTAAGTGGGTGGGAGGGCACTGGACCACAGGAGGAGTAAGAAGGTTCTGGGGCATGCAGAGTCAGGGCACTGGCTATGCATCACATGTTATAGAACCAAGAGGAACCTAGTCGAGACAGCACTGGAGCTACGACTAACTGAGGTCAGGGTCTTAATAATGTAACTGTGATGCCACCATAGAGCTGGAGGAGAGCTTGGCACGGACGTTAGTCTGGATATCATTGGGAACCGCCTCACTTGGGCTTATGCAGTGTGACTTCTGACCGTATCATAAAATGTAGTAGGAATACTCGGCATGGCAGCAGTTCTCATTTGTTACCTTCAGCCTCCCCACAAAGCCTGATCCAAGTGCAATTCTGATCTCGGCTATCGAACGAGAAGGATCTGTTTCTCAAATACACAGACACAGGCTCTTGGATCACATATAAATAGCCCATTCAATAGAGCCTGCTGTATGAAGTCTATGTTAGGAGAAAAGGTAGGGATATGTTGGTGTCGAGGCCCTAAAATAATCTCTGAATGTAGGTTTCTATACTACGACAAGGAGCACAAATCATACTACAGACACGGTGATTCCCCGTTCATCTGTCGGTTTGTCATACAGTAGTGGCTTGCCTGTTGCCGTGCTGCTGGAAGCTACGCTTTCGATATTTCAAATACCAGGAGGGCTACCCAGCATGGACAGGTTTGGGGGAGCTTCTAGATTAAGAACAGAATAGGGAGAAGGAATCGGTGGTCCACTTTGGTGGACGTTACCACTGAAAGAGCCATACCTTCACGATAAGGAAGTTGGGGTCATGGCATGTGGTGAGGAAGGTTCTGAAAGGGCTATCCTTAAGTTCTTCCACCCTGTATGGCTCAGCAATCATAGCTCTTGCCCATCATGCACAAAGGATTCTTAAGAAGGATAAATGGAATTTTATAACTGTAAATGCATGGGAAACACTACCAATGAAAAAATTAATCAACTCCCTTGCTTCCTTCTGAAGTGAAAATTTATCAATGTATTTTAATTGGTTATGCAAATTAGCATATTCATGTGTCCCCACTCCTATACCCACCCACACACACACACACAACTATTGAGTTGATTCTAATTCAGTTGTAGGATTTTCTTAAAGTTTTCAATGGTGATACTTTCACTTTAGAAATTCCAATACCAAATGAGGAGCTGATGCCAGGGGCTTACATGGAGAGCAAATGTTTTGAGACTGATGAGGGTAACGAATGTACAAATGTGCTTCATACAATTGATGTATGTATAGATTGTGATAAGAGTTGTATGAGTCCCCAATAAATGATTAAAAAAAAAGAAATTCTAGAACAAGTTTGATTATCTCTAACTCTCTCTTACTCGCATACTCTTTTTTTTTTTGGTATAAAAAGACCCTTATTTTCTTTTCATCATTTAATAAATAATTTGTACTGTTCAAATCTCAAGAGTCAGGGAACTGAAAATCCTTGTCGATTTGGGGATGGAACCATAAGCAACCCTGGCAGTGCCAATGCCCAGAGAGGGGTTTTCAGTTGCCAAGCACATTAAGAAGTTTATATAACTGGCTTGTGTGCAATGCCTCAGCGAGAGGTCCAGACTGGTTTCCTGCTCAATGATTTTTTATAAGGGAAAAGGATTTATGAAAGCCCTAAAATGAAAGGGTTTGTCTTGCCTTGATATGATTTGTCCAAGCTTGGCATGAACCATAACCAGTCACAGAGAAAAAAATAAGGCAAAATTCCACATGGGCACCTAGTAGCAACGTCTAGCTTACTTGCAAGGAAGAACTAGAGTCCCAATTCATCAGCTAGATCAGTATTTCCCAGTGAGGGTGTTAGAATCATCTAGCGGATTATGACAATTTATATACTCAGTCTCTCAGCCAGGATCACACCTCAGTTGCCCCGGTACCCTCCATCACCTGTGGGTACTTCCCACTAGCGAGCCTCCTCACTCTGTACAGTAATACTACTGG